TTCTGTTCTTATTCTGATCTGAAATTAGCAAAAATAACTCACCCGATGGGCGAGAAGTATAGTATCTGTAATGTGCTGATTGTTTTTAGTTTACTATGAACAATATTATCATTTAAGTTCTGAATTATACGTTTTCATATGAGGAAGTTTTCCAAAATGAAAAGTGGTATCCGTTATGCTTACTTTTCTAGACACTTATGGTTGATATACTTACTAATGTGAAAGTTCATTAGATGCTACTAATATTTCGCCAAAATGTTGTTACAGATTGCAACTTTCGTTTTGCCATTTGTAAGTAATTTTGATATTGTATGAAAACCTTATAGAATAAGGGAAGATGGTCAAGTTAATTTGCGTTGACCTTGATATCTAAAAGCTTTCATCAAAAATAAATATTATTGTAAATAATACGTTTTGTGTTTCAACCAATCCTGTGGTGTGTGGTTATTTTCTGCATACTATTAATAAAACAACATCCGGGTCATTCTTCAAGAAACCCGCCAAGGCTGTTAAACACTTGTTGTAATTTTGCAGTTTTTAAACTACGATTACCAGCCGTTTACTTGCCGATCGGCTTTTGTTTCTTGTAAGATAAGTAGCATATTATTGTCTGATTAATTTCAGTGTTTGAACGGATCGTGTCAGCGACGAGTTAGTCATAATATTATTAAAAAAAAAGCGTTTGGTGCTTGGCCTCGTTTTCGTTTGGTTGATACAACATGGCGGGTTTTCTTCCTGTACATGAGCGTGTGCCTCTTTATTCCGTAAAAAAGTCGACTGTATTGCTTCCCGACGTTTGCTCATCACCTCCTTTAAACATTCTTATATTTGGTTCTTCATATATAAAACGGTTAGCGGTTTATTTATCGCATTTTAATCATGTTAATTTGGATTTGGATCGGCGTGTGTGTCGAGTAACTTGCTGGGGACATGGCGGTCTGTTAGTCCGCAATGATCCGCACGGAAGACTGTCCGTCACGAACTCGAGATTTTCGGAAATGGATATAATTATGCTCCATCTAGGATCGAATGATTTGTGCGACATTTTATCATTTCCGTCGGTTATAGCTCGGGATGTCTTTGACTTCGCTAAAGATGTGTTGTGTGTTTGGCATCCCAAGTTAGTTATAATAAGCCAACTTTTGCCCAGGCAGTGTGAACCTTATAACGGCTATAATGCCAAGATTTTGGCTACCAATATGGAGTTAGAGGCTCTTTGTTTTTCTGAGAGGTACATTACATCTTGGAGGCATAGAGCTGGGCTCCATCGGCCCCTTGTAAATATTTATGCTGCTGATGGTATTCATCTTTCTAATATGGTGGGAAATTATAAATTAATGAAGAGTTTGCGTGATGCTCTATTGAGGGGCATGCGTTACCATCTACGCATGGTAGGTCTGTTTCATGTCTCTTGGGAGATATGTGGTACCTTGGGGTGCCTGTTTTTTATCATTCATTCTCTGATGATATGTGGTACTTAGGGGTGCCTGTTTTTAATCATTCATATCTTGGAGATATGTGGTACTTATGTGCCTGGTTAGCTTTTTTATTTATTAAGTGATATCTTGGTACTGGTATGATACTGTAAGTAAATTCCAAAGACTGTGCTTCAGTCAGGTGATTAATATTTAACATATGTCCAGTTAAAAATCTATGCATTTGGCAACATCAGGTTTCCTTGCCAATGATTATTTGTGTTCTTACCTTCTGAAATTATTTGTAGGGTGATGTCTAAACGTGGATCGAAGCGCCCATTAGATGAGGGTAGTGGTGAGCCGTCAACATCTGGATCATGTCCCATGTCAACGGCTGAAGACAGATTGACCGAAATTTTGATTAAAAAATTGATTGATAGAGGTTTGGTTAGTTCCATCCCTACACCTACTCCACAGTCAACTGCCTCTGCTTCAACTACCTCAACTTCAGCTTCTGAATTTACTGCCTCTACTTCAACTTCAACTGCCTCTACTCCTGGGACATTTGTACCGTTATCAACCACATCGACTGGAAATAATCAATCAGTGTTTTCTGTAAATGCTGCGGCCTTGTTTCAACCTGCAGACATTCCAGATGCTAACAGTGCCAAGTCTGATTTAGAAAGCCAGAGAATGGGCACCGTGGCTAGACAGCACTCCTCATTTAGTCGATCCCAGTATAATCAGAATTTGAGCACTACAGCCATTCGGTTATTAAGTGAAGCCTTATCGCCTAGTTCCAGATTGTCTTACCGGAGAGATTGGTCTCGTTTCTTAGACTATTGTAAAATAATGAATTTGTCTCCATGTTTTCCTATACCAAGTTTTATTGTAATTAATTTTCTAGCACACTTGTTTGAATCCGGCTTTGCACCTAGTACTATTGCTAGCCATGCATCAGTTCTGAGCTTTGTACAAAAGTCTTTGGGGTATGATGAACCCATTCAATCTTTTGTGACAAAAAATTTATTAAAAGGAGCTAAGAAATTACATGAAAGAGCTGATAACCGTTTACCAATAACGGGTCCTATTTTAACTCGACTGCTCAGTGCAATTCCGTCCGTTGTTTCAGTACATTCTAATCGTTTTCTCCTTCATGCTATTTTTAACCTTGCCTTTGCAGGATATTTTAGATTAGGTGAACTTGTTTTGAAATCTAACCTCTTAGCAATGAATGTGGTACAGACCCAGCATGTTCAATTTCATTTTAAGTATAATCGTGTTGAATTCTTAGAAATCTCACTCCACCATTACAAACATAAGTCTTCCACTAAGCCCATGACATTGATTTTGCACTGTAGGTGCAGTGAGGTCAGTAAAATGTGTTGTGCACCTTGTTCCTTATTAACGTATATGCAGTCGTGTCCACACAAAACAGGCCCTTTGTTTCAGTTTCCTGATGGATTAGTCCATTAAAAGATTAGAACAAAAAAGTTCTTTGCGATATGTTTTTTGATGAGGTTCCCTTACCCTACCTTGTCAGCCAATAACAGTACCAAAAGCAATTGTTGATCTGTATAAAACAGAGTTTAAAATAGATAGAGAACAGATGAATAATGTTTAAAGAGTAAATTTCAATGACAACTTTATCTACTATGTTTGTTAGAAAGAAGAGATAGGATGGGAGATTAATCACAATACTTGTCTACCTTAACTAACACTTACATCAAACACCTTTAATCGGGGATCCTCAG